GCACACAGCACAGAGGCCTCCATCATAACCCATATGACAGTAGCACTTCTTTGTCATTTTTGTATTTCATTAACACATGGCCATCCCTAAACTCTACAGTATCCTATCTCAATCCTGATCCTAAGTGTACTGCAATCACATCCTCCTTTTCCAATTCTTCCACCACATTCTTAGTCCAAAGTTGATGTCCCACTGGAAATGTGAAATTAGAATAAAATTGCTAATGTCTTTGCTTCTGATGCATAATGGTTAGACTTTGAAAATAATAAGCAGAAATCTGTGCTGAGGAAAATTTAAGTTCAGCTATGAGATACTGCCAAAGTAAAGTGACACCATTGTAACCTCAATAAAATCCAAACAATTTGTCAGCCCCAAGTAAATAAAATAAAAATAAATTCCACAAAATACTTTTCAAAGTGGAAGCACATTTCTGCTATGGTGTAAACATCATATCAACTAAAGTTTTCTTTTATTAGGAAAAAGTACTAAAAATAGAGTTATATATTAAACATTGGGTTACAGGCTCTGTTTATACACTCTTACCATGCAGAGGAAACTAATTTATCACATCAGTAGGACATATAACTTGTTCATGGCTGCTAAAAGATTGGACTTCATCCTATACCATATGGCACTCCCACTTGCGATGAGCACAGGCTGTAAATTCAATCAGAGGAATAACTAAATTGATGTGTAATTGAAATATGACAGGAAAATACACACGAGGCAACAACATCAGTCAGGGGGCCCTAAATCATGTCATTCTTTGTGTGACAACACAACACTGAGGAAAGGCGGGGAGGCAAGAACCCAAGCTCATCTGGTTACAGTCATGCTGTGTCTGATGTAAGGGGGAAAGGAGGGGTTATTCCTTTGAAAAACAAAACTACCCACACAGGGATCAGATGATGCTCTTCTTCATATACAGAGTTTTGAGGCAAGTGGCCATTGTGGGGCAGAAAGAGTGAAGAGATAGGGGGATGGAAAAGAGTTGGGGTGATTATCAAAGGCATAGAAGAATCTAACGCTAACTAGGGTGGAGAAAGTGAAAAACGGTCTTTAAACTCTCAGGATGGAGAAATGTATCACTCCCACAGCAGAGATACTTTAGGGAACTTACTACTGAAAGCAAAGGACAAAAAGTGTTAATCATTTATTGTGTGACACCATTCAGTATGCGTGTGTCCCCTGCACAGTCTATGGTCAGAAGCAGTAGAAATGACTTTGAGTAGCTCTGATGTCAAAGCTCATAGTCAAAGCAGGTAATTTACTTATCAACATACCATTTTTGCTAACTTTTGGTTGCTCAGTAGTACTGAAATTATGTCATCAATGGCTTCACTCAACAAATGCTTATTGCCATGTGCAAAAAAGGGACAAGAGTAATAATAGCTATCATTTGGGGAGCACTTGCTAGGGGCCAGTCACTGTGTTAAGCGCCCCATGGTAGGTTTCTATTGCTAATTTAGAGACTTAAAGAGTATCTATTTATAATGTCACAGGTCTGCAGGTCAGAAGTCTGGGCATGGTGAGTGAGGCTCGGCTGGCTCTGTGCCCTGACTCTCACAGACTAAAATCACAGTGTCAGCAGGACTGCGCTCCTGTCATCAGAGGATCACTCAGGTTGCTGGCAAGCTTCAGTCCATGAGCCTGAAGCACAGGCCCCGAGTCCTTGCTGGCTGCGGCCTGGAACCCTGCCTGCTCCTGGCCACGGCCCTCCTGGCAGTGGTGGGTCGTGTCTTTCCCACAGCGGGACGCTCCCTGACCTTCCTACTGCCTGCCTCTTCGAGGCATTTCTTCCACCAAATCTGACTGGGTCTTCCACCTTCTTCTGCTGCTTTTAGGGGCTCATATGATTATGTGCAGCCCACCCAGGTAACCCTGGGTAATCTCCATTGCTTAAAGCCAGTGGATTCATAACCTTAATTCTTCAGCAAAGTTCTTTCATAGCAGTAGCTGGAATTGTCTTTGGCTGAAACGCTGGGAGGGTCACACTGGGGGACACCTTTAGAACCTGCCTACAAGAGCACAATTGCACACATTACCTCAGTTAACCCTCATCGCAACTCCATGATGAAGTCCAAGTGGAAAGTCAGACGAATTGTCTGTTATCTATGTCATTTGTTTCACTTCACAAAAACTACGGCCTAACCACCAAATAAACCCCAGATAGATTAAATAATTAAATGTTTAAAAAGGAAGCAAAAACAAATAAAAAATGCCATGGGTGAGTATCTAATCTTGAGATGGTTATAACATAAAATAAACAGCCAAAATGACAAAGATGAACAGATGAGACTATATAACAACTACAAAACTTCTATGAACATAAAAGGCAAAAGTCAGGGTCAGAAGGGAAATGCTAAATACATGCTAAATGATGAACATCCCTGTTAGGAAGAACTAGCAAATGTTTAAAAAAAGGTAAAAGAAACTATTTAGATTTCTTCTGTGAACTCACATGTTAAATGTTAGAAAGTCGAACCTTTTTAGTAACCAAAGAAATGTACACTGAACCATGGGTTTTTATGTCAAATTAGCAAAATATTTTTTAGTAGTTTTTTTAAGATAATGCTCAATGCTATTACTGTGTTAGTGAAATAGACATCACTAAACAATAAACAAGACAGATTAGTATTTGGCACAATTCATATTTGGACTCTTCATTGAGGAAATAAAATTCAAATACATTTACAATAAAACTGCAGAGCTTTAAATAAGGATAAGATTAAATAAACTATGGTATATCCATATAATAACACTGCTGAGCAATTACACTGGCTCTTCCAGATACATTTTATTGACATGGGAAAATGTTCGGGATTTGATCATGGGGACAGCAGGATACCACGCTACCTGTGCGGGAGGAGGGGCAGGTGACTACAAGCTCTGGAGCCAGCAACCTGAGGCTGAGTTCTGGCTCAGCTGCTTAACGGCCCTATGACTGGGCAGACCACGGCCAGATTCCAGTTTTCCACATATATTTATGTAGCATGATACCACTTACCTCTCAGGGCTGTGATCAGATTTAAATGAAAGAACGTGAAGTCTATGTGATCCTAAGAGGCCTGCTAATAAAGCAACTGGTGGCAGTTCTCATGGGAACACCTTAAGACCATCTCAGAAAGTCGACTTAAGGGCCCTGTATTAGTTTCTTAAAGGACCACAAAGTAGTGTGAACTGAAATAAGAGAAATTTATTCTCCCACAGTTCTAGAACCAAAGGTCTGAAAACATGCTGTTGGCCAGGCCACATGCCCTCCAAAGGCTCCAGGCCAGGACCCTTTCTTGCTTCTCTCAGGTGTTTCCTAACATGGGACTGCGTAAGTCCAGTCTCTGCCTGTCTGCACATGGCCTTGTACTCCTCTCCCCAAGCGTCCCTGTCTTCTCCATTCTGTCTCTTATAAGGACACTTGCCATTGAAACGAGGGCCCACCCAGGCAATCTAGGTGATCTTATCAAGATACTTAATTACATCTGCAAAGACCCTTTTTTTCCCCACATAAGGTCACATTTACAGGTTCTGGGGGTTAAGATGGGGACACATAGATCGGGGTGACCACCTAACCCACTGTAGCTCACAAACCACAATGCCTTTAAAGTGGCAAAGTCACTAGAGGAATTTAACCCCTTACATGTGCAGTTTCATTATGAATTCAGTATTCTACGTCAGCTACCTTCCTATAGGAAGCTGGAAGTAATTTTACATAACTGGGGCAGGCATCAGACTTGTTAGGCGATCGGCAGGGATGTGTACTACACAAACCTTACTTCCAGACCATGAAGTTCAAAACCAGGGGTGCCATGTCATAGTGAAGTCAGACATTCACACTGACATAACCGTTCCTTATCACAGCAACTAGGACAGTGCCCTGTACATGGGAAGACCGTTTCGAGAACAAGACACAACAGGAATGGGATGTGGTCCAGCCAGAAGGTTCCCCTCGGGGGCTGGCTGCTCCACTGAGCCACCCACCAGGCTCGAGCTGATCGGTGCACAGTGTCACTCACCTTCAACGTAGAGGGGCTCTACCACATCGTGGTTAATCAGCTCGAAGTTCTCGTGGCCGATCCAGTGCTCCACGTTTCTCTTCCTGCCCGTGAAGAAGTTGTCCACCACGGTCACCTCGTGGCCATCCATCATGAGTTTGTCAGTGAGATGGGAACCCACGAACCCCGCTCCTCCAGTTATCTGCATCAGGACAAAAACACCCACAGAGAAAGCACAAGAGAACATGGTGACAATTGATTTTACAAAGATAGATTTCTGGTGCAGCCTCAGCTTAAAACTTGGGTAGAAGGGGAGGAAAGGAAGATGGCAGGCTTTAAAGCAGCATCTTTACTGCTTACTCCAGGGCAGAAGTCATATTGTACCTGTCAGCTTTTAAACAGCCTAAACATTTCAACTACCACCCAGTAAATAAGACAGAAAAATAGTAGTTACTGGTTTTAAAATGTCATCTTTGACAGAAAATTTTACATTATTAAAAGGTTCATGTGGCCGCATCATTCATAATAGCCAAGATATGGACCTAAGTGTCCATCAATGGATGAATGACTAAAGAAGATGTGATATGTGTGTGTATACACACACACACACACACACACACACACTCTGCAATACCATTCAGCCCGGAGAAGAAAGGAAATTCTGCCATCTGTGGCAACATGGGTGCAACTTGAGGGCATTGTACTGAGATATGTCAGACAGAGGAAGACAAATACAGTATGATCTCATTTACATGTAGAACCTAAACATAAAAGCAAAGAGTAAAAACATGGTGATTGCCAGGGGCTGGCAGGTGGGGGGAATGAGAGCTGTTGTTTTAAGGTACAAATTCGCAGCTACTAGGTAAGTCCTGGAGAACTAATACACAGGCCTGTGATTATAGACAGCCAACTGTGCTATAAACATTACATGTGCTAAGAGACTAGATCTTAATTGTTCCTAACACTAGAAAAAATGACAATTATGTGACAAGACAGACATGTAACCTAATGCTGCAATGGACTGTATCAAGTCAATACACTGTACATCTTAAATTTACACATTGTCATGTGTCAAATATATGTCTATTAAAAAAAGACAACAATGGTTCTTGCTTTATAATAAATGGGATTTAGAACATTGCTTACATGGTTCTAATACTACTCCTGCAAAGTTTTAGAATTACTTTTTTAAAAAAAGTGATTATCAAAATGCAGAGATTTGGTGAACTACCAAAAAAAAAAATATGGTATTTAAAATGGACTCGAGAACCTCATGAAAAACTAATACCTTTCAAATTATTCCTAATAATAATTTGCAGACCAAAGCCCAGAATGACTGAGTTCTAGCGTCTGGTTAGTGTCCGGGCAGGAATGTGAACACCACGCAGCGTCCACTACCAGCCCAACAGTGAAACGATGCAGCTGTGAGAGGCCTGTGAGGGGCAGGGCGCCAGCAGTAACGTGTTCTAAAACCTAAACCACAACAAGTGTGAAAAGTTATTTATGTCTGAAAAACAATTTTTAACTAATAAAGACTTCATTCAAATTAAGTGCTGTAACTGGAGAGGGGTTAGTTAAAGCATATTTCATTTTTGAGAGGTAGGAGTAAATAGGATAAACTCCGAAAAAAGACTAGTGATATGAAACTATTTTCCATCCTGTGCTGTTCTGTTCTCCACTCTATCATCTCCTCCACCAAAGTTGGCCTTCACCTCATCCTCCCTTTCCAAACTAAAAGAGTCCATAGTAGGAAAAACACCAACTCTTGTTTACTGCAAATGAAAAGCACATAAACCCCTTGGTCTACAGTTTTAAAACATTTACTTTGCCATGAAGTCCTCTGTTCACATAAAACCTGACACATAGTTCCGGCCAGTGTTTATCATGGGTGAGAGCAAAGCTGCCCTGAGTGGAAAAGGCAGATCTGGGGGAGCAGGACAGTAATTCCTGCCTTAAGAAGAACCATTGGTCAACCAACTAGTTAGCTATGTATGCTCCGATGGAAATAAAAGTATGGTTTAGAATGTGAGTGGTTGCAAAGTCCTGATGTTCAACAGCTTTCAATCAGCTACATTCATTTTTTATAGAGAGCACCATTTTCTAAACCTCTTTTGTTCAGAGATTACGCCCAGAGGAACTGCGTTTTGACCAAAATCCCACATCACTAGTAATGATATATAAGCCCAGTCTACTTAACTCCATATTCTCTCCATTACCTGTCAATTTGTCTGGTTTGTGTTTGATCTTTAGCACTCCTATAGTCTACCCACATAGCTGAACAATGATTTGAAAAAGAATTTTCTGGAAAAATAACTGACTTTTAAATCTGGCTTACCATTTAGGGCTTAACTCATGAAGTGAGATTTCATTTTACTTTATATTCACTTTAGCGCACTTTCCCATGTTTTGCACAGTTTTTAAATGAGAAAAATTACATATTTTCAAAGGAAATTTAACCTCTTCCAATGTAATTCTATATCTATATACAACTGTTTCTTAAAATACAATGTGCTGTGGCACGCTGACTTTATCTCGGCACCTAAAATAACAGCGACGGCTCAGAGCTAGCAGAAATGCAGTGTTTACATTATACACCATCGCCTACAACAGCTCCCTAGTTTTAGGAGTCAGATAAAAGTGCTGAAAGCACCTTAGTCTCATTTAAAACGGATTTGAATTGTTTTTTTTTAATAGCTTTCCATCTAAAATACTGAAAGATTTATGTAACATAGCTAGATGGTTAGAGAGTAGTTTTCCTAATGAATTTCAGCCCATTAGGCAAGCATTTCAAATAGAAATGCTGGCAGAAGCTTACCACTTAGGAAGCTTCCTCAGGAAAACCAATCACCAAACCCAGCCATACCCTCTGAATAACAAGGAGCTAATAACCAGAAGGTCGTAGGAAGAAAAAGACGCAAGACCTTCTGCAGTGAAATGGATTCGGCCGTCACAGCTTTGCACGGGTCTGCCATTTATGAGCTCCTCACAGTGTGCTTGTACTTCCTGCTCTTGTGGGAACTAAAAGGCAAATAAGTGGTCTAGTTCAAGGTCAGCATTCAAACTCATGCTGCTCAGCACATCAGCAAAAAGAAATGTCTTTTCAAACAACCTTCCTCTTTGTGCTAAGGCTTCAAAAATTACTGAAAAGGCTTTTCAAGTTTTAGCAACACTATGCCAGACTCGGGCACCAAAATGACTCTGAATGTGGCTTAACCTATGAGGTGGCAGATGAGTGAAAAACACTCATTTGTTGTGGTTATGTGTAAAGTGAAATAATCGGGAATACTCAACATCCACAGGAAAACCATCCCACGGGGCAATAACAACCCTTGCAAGACTGTGCAGGGCTCACAAATTAGTGCAGAACATCAGATATTCTGGTCACGCTGACACACAGCAGCAGAAAGATTAGAAAAATTCACTGTTCTCTGCTGTTGCTGACGACACTGATCTATTTCTAGTTCATACTTAAATGCATATACATTTTTCACGTGGTGATGGGAATACAAGAATAGGCTTTAGAGTCTGCTCAGGGTGAGGTTTAGGTTAACCATCTAAAAAGGAAGAGCTCTTCTATAGCTTCTATTGTAGAAAAGGGAGATTTTGGTGAAAAACAATTTCATATTGATTTAAGAGTGTTAGTTACTTTGGTGTTTGGGATACATATTCCGACAATGTAGACGATGGGCAGAGGAACAAAAAACAACCTTGTGTACTAACCATTTATATATCAAGGTCACAGATAAGAAATTTTTTCAGAATGGTGTCATGAGGTGCTCCGCAGACCCATTCCCCAGCAAAACAATCATAACTGGTGGTGAAAATTAATTTAAAAACAATTACTTAAAGTCTACAGAAATTGTCTTAAAGGTATACAACAAATGAAGAAACATTTATGCAAGAAAATCTATAAAAATTCAGTAAGAGTCTGTGACACTTCAGCCATGGCTCACTTCCCCCATCGACCCCCCACCCTCACAATTCACAGTGGGTGTGAGTGGCCATAAAAAACAGAATCAAAAAAGATATGGAATCTCACCAGGAAGGCTAGGCCACCAGCATTTCTTATCCCCTCCAGGTGTGAGCTGCAGAGACTAAATTCCTGGCAAGAGAGCCAGGTGGTGAAGATCTCCCTTCCTCCACCCAGCTCTCACTCACAGCACAGAAGCTCTGACCTAGGCACGGCAGGCTGTGAACAATGAGACTCTGGTCATTGTCCCAGCTCGCTCACAGGGTGGCGATTCCAAGCTGAGAGAGGGAAGGCAAGAATACCGGGGCTACCGGCTCCTGCCCGGGCCCCTGCTTGTAAGGCAGCAGTGTCGCTCCATCCCCCAGCTCCAGAGCAGTGGCTCAGATATTTCCCGGAGGACAGAGGCAGTCAGTAAACACAGAGAGCTCTGAAGCTCTCCCCAAAGGAATTAAGTGTATTTGAAAGCGTGTGGAGAGCTCAGCCATAAGCGTGCTCTCAGAACAGTGGATACTTAGGTGATAAGCAGTAAAAAGGAGGCCGGTAGCTCTATGAGAGCAAGCTAAATGATAGGCAGAATATACGGCAATTTCTGTCAAATAAAAACATTACGCTGTGTCCTCATCCACCTTATTCACTGGATCTGGCACTGTGCGACGTCTGGCTCTTCCCCAAAGTCCGAATGACCATGAAAGGTAAACGTTTTGAATCGGTTAAGGACATTCAGAACTGTTTCATAAAGTGGCAAGAATGACAGGATAAGTGTGTTTAAAGCAACGGGGAGTATTAAAGCAAGGGGGATTAATGGCAATGTGTCTTTGTAATAATTTTGTTTTAAAACATTCACCATATTGTTTGTCACACCTCATAATTAGGTCATACAGAAGCACGGTGAACCGTGATTCCACTGAGAGACACACAGGGTGACTATCATGTGATGATGAAAGCAAGGACTAGAGTGATACGTCTACAAGCCAAGGAACTCAATAATTACTGGCAACACCAGAAGCTAAGAGAAAGGCATGGAACAGATTTCCCCCTAGAGTTTTTAGAGAACGTGGCCCTGCTTATACCTTGATTTCATACTTCTAGATTCCACAACTGGGAGAGATTGAACTTCTGCTGTTTTAAGCTGGTAAACTGGTGGTAACTGTTACAGCAGCCCTAGGAAACTAACACAGCATAAAAAAAAAATTTAAAAAAAAAAGGGCTCCTCAAGTACAAGGGAACCCCAATATGATCAACAGCTGACTTATTGTAACAAATAAGGAGAAAGCAGTGGGATGACATATTCAAAATGCAAAAAGAAACTATCAGTCAAGAATCTTTTTTGTTTTGCTTTGTTTTAAAATTTTTACTGGGGAGTTGGGGAGGGGAATAGCGATGTGGAATCGGGGGAAGGGGAACAAACAAGTTGCTGTTGTTTTGTTCTTCAGTCTAGTTGTGGAGGACATTGCTTCACTGGCCCATGTTGGTATTATCATTGCGCTCTTCCCGGATGAGGCAGATCGGTCACCGGCCTCTGCTCACTGCAGCTCTTGGCAGCTCATGCCGGCAGCCAACCACTCACGATGGCTGCCAGCCACACACGGTAGCTTATGGCAGCCCACTGCAGCAGGGGCTGCAGCCTACGCCGTTGCCGGCGACTCATAGCAGCCCAGCTCCAGGTTGAGCTGTTGTTCAGCATCTTAGCTGTAGAGGGCAGTGTCACTGGCCCCCATGTGGGATCTGTACTGAGGCCCTGCTGCTCAGAGTTGGCATCCCAAACCAGCTCTTAACCAATGTGCCACTCGGCCGGCCCTCAAGAATCTTATATACAATCAAAAATAACTTTCAAAAACAAAAATAAGTCAACAAAAAAGCAGACCTGCCATGTAAGAAATACAAAGAACAGTTTTCAGGCTCAGGCTGAAATCAAGTGATATGACAGTAACTTAATTCACAGAGGAAAAAAAAAGAAGGAAGGTGGGCGGGTCAATAAAGTTAACTCAAACCCTTAGCAACAAAAAAAGAAACCAGATATGGAATCCACTAAAACTTTTGGAACTATAGTTCTAATGAGTTCCACAAGGTTATAGGATATAAGAAAACACAAAAATCAATTGTATTTCTACACACTTGCAATACAGAACATGAAATGAAACTAACCCAAACAATTCTATTCATACTAGCATCAAAAAGAATAAAATACTTTAGAATAAATTTAACAAAACATGGGCAAAACTTACATTCTGAAAATTACAAAAAATGCTGCAAGAAAATAAGGAAGACCTAAATAAATGGAAAGACACACCATGTTAGGATTGGAAGACCTAATATTGTTAAGATGGCAATACTGTCCAAATTAATCTACAGAGTCAATGCAGTCTCTATCAAAATCCCAGCTGGCTTTTCTGGAGAAATTTGCAAGCTGATCCTAAAATTCACAAGGAATTATAAGGAAACCAGAATAGTTACAACAATCTTGAAAACGAAGAACACAGTTGGAAGACTCACATTTCCCAATTTAAAACTTACTACAAAGATAAAGAAATCAAGACTGTGTGGTATTGGCATGGAATAAACAGAGATCAATGAAATAGAATTGAGAATCTAAAAATAAATATTTACATTTATGGTAGGCTGATTTTCAACAGTGGAGCCAAGACAATTCAATGGGGCATGATTAGTCGTGTCAGCCAATGGTGCCAGACAACTGGACAGCCACATGCAAAATAATGAAAAACCTTCATCTAACTTCATGTATAAAAATTAACTCAAAATAGATCCTAGACCTAAATTTAAGAAAAGGGAGAAAATATTTGCAAATCATATATCTGATAAGGAACCTGTATCTAGAACAAAGAATTCATATAACTCAATATTAAAAAGAAAAATAACCCAATTGAAAGTGGGCTAAGTATCTGAATAGACATTTCTCCATAGAAGATAGAGAAATAGCCAATAAGTACATAAAAGGAGGCTCAACATCATTAGCCATCAGGGAAACTCAAATCAAAACCATGAGATAGCACATCACACTTACTAGAAGGGTTACAAACAAGACATATAGCAACAAGTGTTGGTGAGGATGAGGAGAAACTGGAACCCTCATACAGCGCTGATGAGACTGTAAAAAGGCGGTCGCTTTGGCAAAACAGCCTGGCAGTTGCTCAGAAGGTTAAACGTAAAGCTACCATATGACTCACATGATAAATGGATAAATAAAATATAAACTATCCATACAATGGTTTAGTATTTGGTAATAAAAAGATATGAAGTACTGATACATGCTATAACATAAATGAATCTTAAAAACAGCCAGTCACAAAAGGGCAAATATTGCATTATTCTACCTACATAGATTTGGCAAATCTATACAGACAGAAAGTAGATTAGTGGTTGCCGAGGGCTTGGGGTGTGGAGGAGATGGGGGGACGATGGAGAGTAACTGCTAATGGATATCAGCTTCTTTTTGCAGTAACGAAGAAGTTCTAATATTGGTATAAACGCACAACTCTGTGAATATACTGAAACTATCCAATTGTACACTTTAAAGGGTGAATTGTATGGTATATAAATTATAATCAATAAAGCTATAAATTATATACCGTATTTGCCGGCGTATAAGATGATTTTTTGGCCCTGAAAAATATGCCTCCAAGTGGGGGGTCGTCTTATACGCCAGGTACACTTCAGATAGACTGCCCATAGTGCTTGCCCCGTGCCATAGTGGCCTCCCGATGCCCGCCCACTTCATTCCACATACCGTTCAGGCATCAGCAGCGCTGCTGGGTGTATGCTCGGCTGTTACGCGATTTTGCTGTTATGCGATTTTACCACACTCGCAAAATCGCACACAGCCGACCATACACCCAGTATGATAGCGCAAAATCGCGAATCGCGATACCATACTGGGTGTATGGTCGGAAGAGGGGGTAGTCTTATACGGCGAGTATATAACAAACTCTGTATTTTGAGTGGAAATGTTAGGGGGTCGTCTTATACGCTCAGTCGTCTTATACGCCAGCAAATACGGTATCAATAAAGCTGTTTGTTTTTTTTTTTTAATTCAAAGGTACCAATCTCTTTGGACACACTTAGCTATACAACAGTTAAAAGGAATTCTTTCATTGGTATATTTCTATTGATGTTTAACAAGAAAACTATAAGCTAAAGAAGTCCCTCCATGTATTCAGCAAAGTGATTTGTGAACCAGAAAAGGTTTTAACCACTGCTATGAACGTTTCACATTTCCTCAAAAAGTTATACATCTAGGGTTACCATATAGCCCAGCAATTCCACTCCAAAAGAACTGAAAACGTATATCTACACAAAAACTCGTAAACGTATGTTCATAGCAGCATTATTCACAATGGCCTCAAAGTAGAAACAATTCCAAAAGGTATCAACTGATAACCAGATAAACAAAATGTGGTCCATCTATACACTAGCATATTGTTCAGCTATGAGAAAGAAAGTGCTGATTCATGCTACAATGTGGATATACCTTGGCAACATTATCCTAAATTTAAGAAATCAGGTACTAAAGACCACATATTGTATCATTTCAGTCACATGAAATTTCTAAAGCAGGGAAATCCATAGAGACAGGAAGTAGTTTTTGAGGTTACCAGGAGCCAACTGGGGAATAGATGACTGCTATAATGGTGTTTCATTTTCGGGTGATGAAAATACTCTAGAATTAGAACGTGGTGCTGTTTCACATCTTTGTGAACATAACTACAAATCACTGAATTGTATCTTCTATAAGCATGAACTTCATGGTGTGTGAATTATACCCTGATTTAAAAAGGAAATTTCTTAATATGACAAATAGTAACCAGATAAGCAAACTTACCAAAATTCGTTTACGATCCTTTTCTGATAAAAATTTTACTGGCGGGTATTTCTGGGTGAAGCTGTATAATATAAAGAGATTAAAAAAGAAAAAGTCAAACATCTGAGTATTTTCTCTGCCTCCCAAAACAAACACCAGATTTGAGAACTGCCACTGCACTTCTCTCTACTCCATATAAGTGCTGTAGGGACCAAGTAACCACTGGCTAGTTGGAATTCAAGGAATAGCTAACCTGCTCCTTGTTTAGAATTGAGCTAAAGACATGCCTTGAGATTCTACCCCTGAGAAGGAAAAAATCAAGAACGTGTGGGCTATCAGCAGCCAAAGCTAAACACTAAGTGAGGGAAGTGGGGGTTCTCAAGACGCTCCATCAGGGCAGGAAGGAAGGAAGCAGCTGTGTGAGGTCCCAGGCCCCATGCAGGGACTATGCCTGGAGGACTAAGAAAAGACTTCACAAAGCTGAATGCCTTTGTGGGGCAGTCTCACAATTCCAGCATCCCCTTCCTGGCAGGTGCCTCTGGGGAAAATGCTTGGGCATCCACACTTTCTGTCTCAGTCTATTCGGCACCTACTGGATGTCTCATCTTTCAAAGCCTCTCGCTCCTGATAAAGGTGCCATGGGTCCTGACCCACACTGATGTGTCAGGCACAGGGCAGGACAAATGGCATATAAGATGTCCAATGAGAGTTGACACACACAGATTTTCAATATCCTTTCTTAAAGTGCTTTAAAAATAAATTCCAAGAAACTGGCTTTATAGTTATTATTTTCATCGGAGGGGTGCTAGGCCAGGGGCACTGTGTCCACCCCTCCACACGTTGGCTGGGATACACAATGCATTTCCTTAACAGTCGCAGAAGTGAACAGAATATGACAGGTAAGTAGGCAGAGGGCCTTGAAGCAGGTATTCCTCAGCTCCTGAAAAGTGTAAACAGATGAAACTGGAGCACGGAGCGGGAGGGCTTTCGTTTATAATTCCTGTATTAGGAGCTTCCAGATTCTCAAAAGGTCGGTCATTTCCTCTGGAGACCACAAAAACAGAGGTAGGCAAGTAGGAAAGGCTGAGGGAGACTACTGGCCCTCCCCTGGTTAGCTCGGGGCACCTCTGAGCTTCCTGTCTGCCTGGCAGGGACCTTCCTTGTCCTCAGCACATCCTGCCCCAGTAAGTGCTTCTGCTAGGACCTAGGGAGCCTCACAGATCCTTGTTTGTGAAGTGACACTTTTTGTCATTCTGAATACTTCCTCAGTCACTCAGGTGGAGGCTGACAAAGTAAACTTCAGCAGAGCCTGCATGCAGCCCTCACACCTGCGATCACCCCATCTTCTCTGAGCACATCACACCTCCACTCCAGACTCAATCCTGAGCGCCACACCCCCCAGTGGAAAGAAGTGTAAAGTGGATAATGGATCTTTTCTTTTTTTTTTTTTTTAAGCTGAGCCATCCTGCCACCTATTGGCAGCTCAGCGGCTGCTCAGCTCGGGCCGGGCATCGAACCGCTGTTGCTCAGAGCTCAAACTCTTGAGCGAGCTCTTAACCAACTGAGCCACTCGGCCGGCCCTGATAATGGGTCTTTTCTTACTCCCCAGAATTAATCCTTCAGTAATTACTTTATGTTATTTCAGACTAACCTTAGTGTTTAATAGGACAGTAAAGATATAGTACTTTCACTTAGAATTTAAATTATCATTATTTGCTACCTATTCAGAGAACATTTCAGGATATGGAGATGGAATTTAAAAAGTTGCATGTTAGCAAAGTATTAAGAAATGGGGGTGTGATAAAGAATAAAAAAAGCCCATATAATCCACTTACTCAGGCTTCTAGAATGGCAGTGTCCTGTTTCTTTCCCTTTTAAAAATATTATTATTATTATTTTTTTTTTCAGCTGAGCCATCCTGCAACCTGTTGGCAGCTCAGTGGCTGCTCAGCTCGGGACAGGACTCAAACCGCTGTTGCTTAGAGCTCAAACTCTTGAGCGAGCTCTTAACCAACTGAGCCACTCGGCCGGCCCCAAAAATATTATTCTTTTTTGGGAGCCACTTTGCTCAAAGTGACAAGCACATCAAGACAACATATTTCCATTTACAGTCTTATTTTGCCAGGGTTGGGATGGTTGTTTAATCATTATTATCACAGTAAGGAAATATAAAACTAGACAGAGTTCCATCGATCTCCACGGCAATGTCATGTCTGTATTTGGCTTTCTAACCGAAACTTTAACCTGGGCTCATGTCACCTGACTTCCTCACCAACCTGAAGAACAGAACCATTTTGGAATGAGTAACTTGTAAAGCAGGGCCAAGAGGCAATTTCTGACCCTCTGCACCTATTTTAAAGGCAACGCTGACTGTTTGACAAGCATAAGTTACTGGTAAATTCTTTAAGATTATATTTGTACTTGTGCTTCTCCTTCCAGCTTAAAAAGTGCAGAGAGGTGGTTCACGATGTCCGCTAAGAAGGTCCTGAACCTACCTCCTCCCACAAACACAACAAATCTACAGCTATGCATGGAACAATTTGCTCTGGAAAAGACCTGAAAAGTAGCTGAACAGCCTTTACACAAGGATAAAAGGGCCGCGTCAAGACAGGTAGTAGAGACAGAGGCTGGATCTCATAAAAAACCCCATCCCAGGCCCGGTGACTCACATCGGCAGGGATCTCATAAATAAGGAGCTTCTCTTTGAGAAGCAAGGTGTTCATGCCCCACATCAGGCACCCCAACCCTTGGAACCTACACAGGACAGATAAGCCCCCAGAATATCTGGCTTTGAAAAACAACAGTGTCCAGGAGAACCACAGGGGTGTAGAGAACAGAGATTCGCTCTTAAAGGGCTTGTTAGGAGACTCGCCTGCCCTGGGACCCAGCACAAAAGCAGCGGTTTGCAGAGCGTGTATACTGGTAGGTAGGTAGGTAGGTAGGTAGGTAGGTAGAAATGAGCAAGAGGAGAGACCCAGCCCGGGACAGAAAGCCACTTGATGCAGCTCCTACTTGGGTCCAGACCCCTTGCAGCTGCTCTCACCTAGGGCACCAGTGCCTGACTGGCTCAGCTATTCCAGGCTCACACATGCCCTAAATCAAAGCATGTTTTATTAGAAGCTAGAAAGAGAGAGAGAAAACTTCCTGCTTCTCAGGGCCATTTTTAATGAGTTCCTCAAATAAATCATGGGAAATTAACAGGTTCATGCTTACGCTCTGAGGAACAATCTTGAGAACAACAGGGGAGGACGGGACACCCCAGCAGAGAAAGAGGAAGATAACAGGGAGGGAGCAGGGAGACAACTCTACCCATAGAGATGGAAACCCTCACACAATGTACGGAGAGGCTGCTTCCCTCTCTTGGGTCAGCCCGTTCCGTGTCTCGGAGTGTACTCGCTTTTACTCATAAACTTCTCGCTGTTCTATGCTGCACAAACTGTTTCTTGACTGAATTCTTTCCTTCAAGAAGACAAAGGACCAAGGTACGATGTCATTCCGAGTAACAATACCATATGTGAAAGAGAATCATTTACTAATTTTAAAGCATGTGCTGGAGGGGCAGGAGCCAGCTGTGACTCTCTCCAGGAACAAAGGCAATGGTGGGAGCCATTTTTGTACCCTGCCTCTCACCAGCTGCTGACACCCGCGGGTGTGCCTGGCATCGGCTCCACTCACCCAGCCCTATCAAAGTCAGCTGGCCCGTGCAGCCCACATAAGGAACACTCCTTGAGCACCTGGCTCTGCCAACTGGGAAGAATTGCATTTTAGGACCTGATAGGTCTGAAACCATCAGAGAGACAGTTCTTCCTGGTTACCACTCGTAGGTCACCCCAGAGAGCATATCCCCAGTCTTCCTGTGAAAAAAAGCCTATTTATTCAGACTTCAGGTGTACCAGACATGTGGAGGCTGAGGAAGTGCTCTCACAGAGCGCAGGCCAGGGGAAGCCATCGGTGAGCGCTCCCTTAGACAGGTTACAGCTCGCTAGTGCCTCCTGGAAGGAGTTCAGACACTTGTCAGGAGCCCTGGTTTTCTGCAGCTTTTGCCCAGAAGGAAACCTCCAGATCACCTGGTCTGGAGGCCAGAAGCGTTTACAATTGTGGTCTCACAGGACTGTATATATTTACATAATGTAAAAAAGCTGCTTCCTGAGAATCTAGATTCCAATCAACCTGAAACTAGGTGCGGAGATCCCTCCCTCAGGAACACACACAGGTCTTGACACACCCACAACTGGGCCCTACCAAGAATAAACCAGACTGCTTAGATCATCAGCAAGGTTCAAGAGGCAACCAAGAGCCACGGCAAGGTTAAACGTAAGGTTCATCTCCTACACGTGGCCATTCCTTCAAAACTGAGAGAGAGAGCTGTTTCACCTAATACATACAAACAAGCACAGAGAGTAAAATGTGACATCAAAAACATAAAACGTGGAGGGGTGGCGAGGAGTAAAACTATAGAGACTTAGAATGAGTTCAAACTTAACTTTCTAACAACTTAAAATAGGCTGTTTTTATATATATATGGCTGTCGGAAAAGTCACGATGCATTTTTGCAATGAAACACATAGACAAAATACGTCATGACTTTTCCGACAATCCAACACACACACACACACACACACACACACACACACACACACACATATATATGTTATATGTGAACCTCATGGTAACCACAAAGCAGAAACCTATAGTAAATACAGAAAAGATAATGAGAAAGGAATCTAAGCATAACACTACAGAAAGTGATCAAACCACAAAGGAAGAGAGCAAGAGAAGAGGAAAAGAAAAGGCAGGAACTACAAAACAGCCGTAAACAATTTTTAAAATGGCAATAGGTACATAAGTATCAGTAATTACCTTAAATGCAATTGGGTTAAATTCATATTCAAATGACACAGAGTGGCTGAAAGGATAAAAAAACATATGGGATATATATGCTGCCTATAAGAAACAACAGATGTAAGGACACACAGAGACTGAAAGCGAAGGAATGAAAAAAGATGTTTCATGCAAATGGAAACCACTAGAGAGCTGGATTAGCTGTATCTATATCAAACAAAGACTTTAAAATAAAGTAAT